ATTTTCTATTCCCCAAGCTAATCTCTTCTAATTTTTTTATAATCCACATTGAGTATCAATTTAATAATGAGCTATAAATAAATACATATTGTGTCGATAATTTATACTACGTATGTAATACGAGTGCAAATTTATTCCACGTAAAACCTTGAAAAATATTACACAGGTGACATCTTGGGTCCAAGTATCCCGAACTTGGCAAATTTAATAAGAATGCCATTTGGTTGCGGCGAGCAGAACATGCTCAACTTTGTACCAAATATTGTCATTCTAAATTATCTGAAGGTACCGATAATTATCTTTTTTGCTACGTGACGCACAATATAATTTATATTTAAAAAAAACTACTTTTCAGAATACGAATCAATTAACGCAAGCCGTGCAAAGCAAAGCGTTAAAATATCTGGACATCGGCTACCAACAGGAATTGACTTACAGACATAACGATGGCTCGTTTAGCGCGTTTGGCATGTCGGATCCTAGCGGGAGTACATGGTACGCGCAACAAGATTATCTAACAATTATTTCATCCACAAGGTCCAAGATGTTTGTCATTTGAGTCATAAGATCTAAAGTTATTACGTTCATCAGGCTTACAGCATTCGTAGCGAAGTCTTTCAAGCAAGCGGCGGATTACATAGCGGTTGAGGATAGGATCATAAACGAGGCATTGCAGTGGTTGTCCAACAATCAAGCAGCAAACGGTTCTTTTCCCGAAGTGGGAAAAGTAAGCCATCGCGATATGCAGGGTGGAGCTGCCAAGGGACTCGCTCTAACGGCATACACGCTTATTGCTTTCCTGGAAAATGAGGTAAATATAATTATTAGCGCAATATCTTTTTATTTGATAGCACTTAAAGAGATATAACTGTTTGCTAGAAATATGTCGTTTAAAAGCAACGCGCAAAATACAGAGACTGCGTTTTCTATGTTACACAATTATTGAAACCGAACATATTAATGTAGGAATCTTTGGGAAAATATCGTAATACTATAAACAAGGCTGTTGACTACATTGTTCGTAATATGGAAGGACTAAACGATACCTATGCATTGAGCCTATGCGCCTACGCCTTACATCTGGCGAAGCACCCTTATGAGACATCGGCATTTAACTTCCTGGAATCGAAAGCTATCACGAAACAGGATCTCAAATGGTGGAGCAAACCCATTCCGAAAGACAATAAAAATCCACATTACTCTTTACCGCGTTCTGTCGACGTCGAAATGACATCGTACGCTTTACTCTTGTATCTTAGACGCAATTTAGTCGCAGATGCAATTCCTGTAATGAAGTGGCTCGTCAAGCAAAGAAATCCAGAAGGTGGCTTTGCGTCGACGCAAGTAAGCAATTATTTCAAGTGCAAAATTATTATTTCAAGCATCTAAGTAAGGATGAACTAAAGTTTAATTACAAATTATATGTAAAATAATTTAGGATACCGTGATTGGACTTCAAGCATTGGCGAAGCTTGCTGAAAAATTGTCAAAGGACACGAGTTCGGTTCGAATAGCGTTTAAATACGACAAAGAAGGTCAAAACTACATAAACATAAATAGTGGCAATTCTATGATACTCCAGAAGCAGATAGTAAGTTTAAACGAATCGATGCGCGTACATTACGCGTTATTACAGCAAGATATTAATACTTTTGCATTTCTCGCAGCTACCTTCGAAAACACGATCCGTCAATATAACAGCGTCTGGTAGAGGTTTTGTACTGGTGCAAGTTTCGTATCAATATAATCTAAACGTGACTGGCGCATTCCCGTTGTTTACCTTGGATCCTCAAGTGGATAAAAATTCCAACGCTAATCATTTACAACTTTCTATATGCTCAGGGTATGTTCTTACTATTATCTTTTAATATTATATCTAAGTCTAATAATCTTAAATCATATCGGTGAGCAAGAAAAATATAAATACTTTTTTTTTAATTCTGATATTGTTATGCAGTTATGATTTGTCATGAAAGAGAAACAATTTTTCAATTTATTTTTTGATCCTAGCAAAGAGGGATATATATGTGTACGAAATATATACTTTTCTCAAAAACAGAAAAATAAAGATAGAGTGATCTGCTTCTTATGTCCATTTCTACCAATAAAGATTAACTTTAATCTTAGTTTAACTTATTATTTTTCATCTTTTTCTAGCTCTAAGAATTAGAAAAAGATAAAAAGTAGATTAAAGTTAATCTGTAATTTGTATTAATAGAAATGGACATTAGACAGCAATTATACGACTTTGTTGATCGAAGATTATATAATCAAGCCATTATTTGTCAGATTTGTTCCAAACGAAGAAGCAAACGAGAGCAACATGGCTGTTATGGAAGTGAGCCTACCTTCTGGCTTCACAGTAGACAGAGATTCGCTACCGAGTTTAGAGATATCATCACATGTAAAACGTGTGGAAACTAGAAATGGTGACACAATGGTGGTTTTATATTTCGACAAGGTATATATCACAGATCACAAATAATTATTAATTAACAAATTATTTGAATATATTTTTCCATAAAAATCTGATAAGAGGTATAATTGATAAAAAAGAAATAAAGAAAATCATTTATTATCATAGATGGTGAAGGAAGAATATTGCCCAACCGTGTCTGCCTTCAGGACGCATAAAGTAGCTAAGCAAAAACCAGTTCCCGTTTCTGTATACGACTATTATGATTCGTGTAAGTATAACGTAAATGTTTTATTGATAAATTAATCTAGAAAAAATGTAAAAGATATTCTAAGATAAATAATAATATGTAATATATCTTATAAGATTTTTAAAAATTACTTTTTTGCTGTTTTCACATGCACAGCAAGAAGAGCAAGAGCATTTTACGAGCCTAGAAAGACAACTTTGTGTGATCTGTGTGAGGATGAAGATTGCGAAGATATATGCGTTTCCAAACCTGGTAAACGAAAGGACAATGCTACAGTGTCCGCTGCATCCCACGTTTACACTTGTGTATATTTACAATTTACGTTTTTCGCGTTTTACTATTCGCTTTATAAGAACTTGTAATTATATTGTTATCGAGGATAATTATTTCATTATACTATAAACTTTAAATCTAACAGAGTAACGTAAAGAAGCTGTATAAGTTGCGACCAAAGTATATATACTTGTTATACAGAATATAAGAAATTATAATCTTTTTATGGAATGTCCAAATCAAACTAACATAAGATTTAATTATTTAATGATAATATTAAGTCTATATAATAAAACTTAATAATGTTTCTTGTTATTAATTAGCAGATATTATTTTTCTCATACTTAAGGACCTAAGATTTATGCATCGCGCATA